TCATCCTAAGTTAGTACTAGTATAATCCAATATTATATAAAGCTGAATTTGAGATCATGGTTTATAGAATCCGTTTTGCTTATAGCAACCGCTTTCCTCCAGACTATAGGACAAAAAAGATGATTTTATTTTTGCCATCACCAATTGTTCACACCTTCACTGAAATAATCTCTTCTAGCTATATGATATACATTTTCCCGTTTCAAAATACAATTTGACAAATATAATGTGCTTGTGATTAAATTTTGTAAAACTGTTACACCTATGATCTCAGATGACAGATATTATTTGATTATATTTCAGAATGATAAATTATCTGCGTTCCGTAGATTAGCAGATAATTGCTATCTATTCGTATGTAAATTAAACAGGTGGGATTTCACCTGCTCCGATTGGTTATTGGCTAAGTAGTCAGGTGCTCATGAGTATATATAGTAGAAAGGGTACTCTATTGTATTCAGTCAACAACTCGCGATGTTTTATTTTATTTATTTTTATAAATATACATTTTTCTTAATATGGATGACGCCCGACATCCACCCCTAGGTACATCTGGCATTGCGTCGGGTACAAGTTTCCAGACGTGTTTCTCCCATGACGGGTTTTTATATCTGGTTTTTCCTGGGCGGTCGATTATCAACTATTTCGTGTGTATTTACATATGTAAGGGGGGATACCTGTAATAAACGCGTGTGGCTCCTGGGTACTGCAACCACCGCATACCGCATTTCATGCTTGTCGTGTAGTTTGTATGGATAATTGAAGTATAGTATAGATGAGTGTATTCCGGTGACACATGTCGATCATGTGCTTACTTAACCTGATATCACATCTTGGCTGTATAGTTTTATGGCCCATGTATCTTACTTTCACCGACACGACCTTGTGTTGAAATGTTGAAATGTGTTGTCCAAGTACTTTGGTCGCACAATATCCTTGAACTTGTACTTTAAGTATGCGAGTTTCGTTCATCAATCGATAGCAGTGAATGGGTTTGTTTTTGTTCCATTTTGCAGTATTCTTCAAAAAAGCACGTTGAACACCTAGAAACTTTTCTAACCTATTATGACGTTTTCCAGTGAGATGTATTTCAAGATTGGGTAATTTCCCCCAAGGGGTTTCATTTATGTGCTTCTAGTGTTATTTTGTTATTAGAAAATATAATAGGACACTTATCAGGGTGGTACTGTCAGATAGTATTTTGACCAAAGTCTCAATCAGCACACTATCACTATGAAGATTATGAATTATCAAATTTTCGGACACTTCAGAGTCTTTGTAATTAGGATACGACAGATTGGACCTATTTGAAATTGAAAATATTCAATAGAAAAACTTCTCGCTAGAGTTATAAAAGAATTTGAATGCAATAAAAAAATAAAATAAAAAAACGTCATATAACGTAATCAATTGGATTGAATTAATTGTTTACGTGTATACTGCATTGTTTGATTTCCAGATCCGAGTTATTGTACAATAGCGCTGTTGCACTAGATTTTTCTTAGCGATTTGTAATTCATGTCCCAACCTTTAAGGTAGTTGTGTACTACTTTGTTTGATACCGTGAATGCGGGTCATTATACTCTGCCAGACATGCGTGACGCATTAGTACGGTATTCAGATCTGTTTGGACAGTGTGGTCAAAACTAAATAAAAGTAAGCAGTACATTTTATTTAATTCCCCCATGGAATGGAATCGACGGCGCATACCTAATGTTGACTTTAAACCTCAGTCAGCCGACACAGAGAGCCGACGCCGAGTACTAGTATGTTAAAGGGCGGCAGTCGTCGTGCCGCGTCCTGTTCGATATGGGACTCATAGCGACGTATACAACGCGTGTAAAATACATTGTTTATTTACATGAAATTCGAACACGCGCTGCGCGACGACCACTGCGCTTTAAATAATGAAAAAAGTGAGGAAAGTGTCGTCTGCAACATCACCGATTTAAAAAGATATAAATCAAGAACTTGTCAAAGTCTATTTAATAAATATGGGTTTCCTGCTAATAGAAGCTTTAGCAATAGACCTTTGAAAGCTAATTTTGGCAGTTTTTTCGATAACCGACAGTTGGTTAGAATTAGCTAACGTCGTCAACGAATAAACTACTCTCTGATCGGTTAAAACGCAATTTGTGTAAACTCCCAATGAAAGCATTGACTCCTATAAAAGTAATTATAAATTGTTACAGAAGTTTTTACATTGTAACTAAGGGAATGTAAACATGCCACTGTAAGTATGTAGTGTAGTGTGTAATATATAGTCTAAATCTAGTCAGCTTATTGGCTAATGTAAGGCCTTGTATCTTCCCAAAAATTGAATAAAGTGATTTAAATAACTTACTGAATCAAACATCTTGCTGCACTGCTTAGTGAATTGTGTATGGTCAACTTACGAAATAGTGGAAACCTGGTACAAGTAATAATACGAATTATTGTTGTCAAAATTGTTGTTATATTGTGTGTATCGCAAGCAAATTCCGTCGTTCTTTGGTGCATGGGTACGAATCGAACACGTGACGTCAATTTCGTCATTGGCAATCTTAGGGCTTGTCGTCGTCAGTTTAAATGCAAATAATGACAATTAAAAACTATTTTTACTTGTTTTGCTTCGTTTTATTTGAGTAAACAGTGTACACCACCAGTTAGTTGAAATATACGGATATACAAATTCGTTTAGGCTCGGTTATTATTTTCCGCCACATATGCAAATTCCCCCGAGAGCTCTTACATCCGCAAATACTCTCGTTTGCCGTTCATTACCCTTAAAACGAAATAAAAAGTGAATACGGGTACAATTATTCAATGCTTGTATCATTGATAATGTGATTGCATAACCTGCTCGACAAACGGTTGCTATGGCGCTCGTTGATATTAGACATCCGTGATCTCTGAACCTATTTACCTATTTCATTATTAGTTGTACAATAGAGAGAGAACTATTAAAAATATGTTGGCGAACAGCCAAACGTTCGTCTACTAACGTCTGAATTGATCACGCTCCAGTCGTCGATAATGTTATCGCATTGCACAAATTACTCGGCATAAACAAACGGTTGCTAAGACGGCCGCAGGTTCACATCCGACATAGAAAAAGTTGCCTGATTATGGGCGTCGTACTGTTAAAAGCAGAGTGTAATAATGAATAATGTGGACTTTTAGGGACAAAATGTCAAACAGAGCACAAAGCCGTCTTGCCAGTAGGCCGATTGGTGATCTGCTCGGAGTTTTTCCAAATTTGTTCACCTAAAGTGCAGGTGTGAACAGCGTATTATGTGTGAACAGACACACAGACAAGGCACTTTTAAAGAGGTTTATTAACACCGCTATTTCAACCAATGAAGTCAAGTGTAAATAAGGGTTTTGAGGGAAGCTACGATCGAAAATCATGTTTTTTTTTCAATTTATCTTTTTTCCATAGTACAGGTTTAACCCTCCTGTAAAGTTTCACCAATATTGACCCAGCCTGCCAAAACGGTACCCCGAATTCGAGGTCTTTTACTCCAAGATTTGTAGAAGAAGATACAGTTTAAAAATTACTGCCAACTCCGCTAATTTTTTTTTATGAATATGAATTACACATATGCCATGTATGTTGCACAAACAACAAGTCGGAACTCCTAGACCCGCCAACAAAAAAAAGTACAATTTATATAAGCACTTTCGGTTTTACAAAATCCAAGATGGCGACGTGACTAAACAAAATGTGTTCCAGTTATTTTGTCAAAACATACATTGTCTATAAAGGCTATAGTGCGATACTTTTATCGGATGATTGCATTAGTGAGGTAGATGACAAATTGTTCATAAGTAATTGGCCAATTTCTGTTAATTATGAAAATCCAGAATGACGTCATCCAACAGTTTAACCAATCCTTTCTAATTGTGAATATTGGACAATTTTGAGGAAAAATTGTTAACAAAAATAATTTCAAACGTAACTTCAGTCTACAATTTTCCACCCTATATAAAACATTTTAATAGAAATGGTTCTTGTATTACAAATATATCCGTTTCTTTGGTATGTTACATGTGTAACTTTTCTCACTATCAACATACATATATTCGTCAGCCGTTTTTAAGAAGCTTCATCATTCAAAGGGAAATTGTGCCCATCTTCTTTTCTAGCGAATTGTATTCTTTACCTGCGTTAAGCTAAATTTCTAAATAGATTTGTTAAAATAAGATATAAAAAGTCAAATCTTTTAATTCAGGTTATTTACTTAATTTATATTCTAATAAAAATCTTAAGTTAATATATTCCAATGATTTTTTCAGCTGAACTTGAGATTGTAGATATTGCACTTCTCGTGCCACAGTATTCTGGATGTCTCTACGATCCAAATAATATTTTCAAATCAGAGAACGTTTTACTGAACCGTTTTATGTACGCGCATGTATAAAGAATGTGGATCGATCTGATACCACACTAGTGATTTCACACTTCCAGTGGCCAGGGATGTCAGTACGTGACTGACATAACAATACAATGTGCGATAAACACCACAATAACAACTGATACTAGTACATTGTAAGTCGATAGTCAGACGCGCCATGAAGCAGGAAGATTGTGTTGTTGTTTTACCACTACCTTCGCATCTTATTATGTACATAAACTCAGTAGTTTATGTAAATTAAACTCATTAAAGCACATTTAATTCGTTGAAGCGTTCTATTATTTGATATTCAACGAACTTTTCACTCAAAAGTAATGAAATACTGGCTTGGTTTTTCATAGTTCATTTACGCAACTTTGGTATACTCTCATTACTGATCGTCAAATCCATAACAATTTCTTATCAAAAGAACCCCCAGAAAAATGACATGTGTTATTCGCTAGCTAGATATCATTTTGCATTGAGTTGTTGAGCATAGAATGAAGCAATCTTTTAGAATGCATTTTAAAGAGCCTTGAATTAAATCACCATCTACCCCCCCCCCCCATGACACACACACACACACACACACACACACAATGATCTATAATAGCTAAGGTATAATCACATGTTGGTATATGCACTATTGTTTATTCCTATACTTCATTGTTATATATCATGGATCCGGGTTATTGTTCGCTGGCAGGCAAGCATGACTATTGTTACGACGTTAGTAAAAAATAACAAACACAAAACCAGGTCAAAATTAGATGTCGTCACCCAGCAATTTGGAGTACGGTGTGAAAAACATTGTGGTTCCCTGTTCAATTTGTGTACACAGTTTAAAAAACAATTGCCAAAGTTTGACCGTTATACGTGCCCGGAATGCAAGAATCGTTTAAGTTGAGGCTTATCAACATTACAGTAACCTTCATTCGGCCATCTTGGATCTGGCCATTGAACCAATATAAAAATACATGTGTGAAATGATGAACGATGCAAATATAAACGTAAAATAAAAAGTATCACTAATATAATAACCACTAACGCAGCAAATATATAAAGATATAAAAGGGAAATGTTAATAAAATGTTGCTATTAAGCGAATGTAGTATTAATACCAGATTACATGTTTGCGCTTTGAAAATTGATTAAACGAGATGGTGTTCCCTATTCTCAGTTCTTCATCATGGAGACTATGATCAATCCCATAATAAAAATCCCTCCGACCAGTCCACTGATCATTTTAGCAAAGGTGCCTGAAATAAATATATGTCATACTTTTAAAATTGCTTCAAATGAATATTATAATGTGTTGTTACATGTTCTGGGTCCGTTTTTATTCACATTTAAATGCGTTTTTTTTATTTCCGTCAGAGGATAGGATAGGCTTGGTTGTGAATGAAATCCTGAATTATTTTAAATCAGATCTTGAAACCAAACAAATATAATTCCAATAACCTTAGAAGTGTACCTTTTTTACGTGTCCACGCTTAGTCACTTTGTATTGATGACAAAATGTATTTCATATAGCACTTATAACAGATACATGTTTTGAAAAAGATGGAAGTTAATGTAGTATAAGAAGACCATCCTATCATGTCAAGCGTACTTACCTGCATTGCGCATGTTGTAGTTGTAGTTGTTGTTTATGTTATTGTCTGAAATTAAGTGGAAATAAATCGTTATAGAATGCGAAATATGTGTGTGCAGAGGCGACGGCACAACATTTTACATGGAGGGGCGAGATGTGCTCTCCAACCACGCGCCAAAGGCGCGATCTTACTAAGGGGTCAGGGTTTATGCTCCCCCATAAAAATTTTGAAATCCAGATCCTCTGAAACGCTATTTCTTGCATTTTGAGGGGTAAATTTTGCTGACACAAAAGATTTCAGCTTGATTTTTTACGATGGGACGATCCCCCCGTGCGGCCGCCACTGGTGTGAATATGCTATATCACTTCTACTGTTAGGTCTTAATCCTCGCGCATGCGCAGTTGACGCCTCCTGGGCGCTAATTAGCTAGACTGAATATAATAAACTCATTATGTGTGCGTTTCATGTCAATATAGATATATCTGTGTTTAATGCAATAATTATACGTGTCATAATCACAAGTTACATGAAAGTCGAACTGGAGAAATAAATATTTGAATTACCAGTCTTTTCATTTTCACAACACAGTCCATGGAATCCGTCGTAGCAGATGCACTGACTACCGCTTGGGTATCCATGGAAATGACAACTAGCTGCATCGTTGTTACATGACACGCTTTCGGATCGTGAACCACAAGATCCCCCACAAGTCGCGTGAGAATATAGCGTACGGGTACGAGTTTTCAACCCATTCGTTCCACATTCTGAACTACACGACGACCACGACGACCAGCTACTGAGAATACAGTCAGTAGGCGAACACGAACGCCGCCTCCTTCTCCACCCATTCACGTTAATACACAATCCGTATAGGACCATCATCAGCAAGAACGTTGCGAAGAATCGTGACGCCATTTCCACCTACGAAACAATGAAACAACGTGAATAATATGATGCACAATAATGGGCTCGTTTCTTCAATTAGTTTGCGCAGTGGTGAGGATTCATGGGTGGAAGTGCCTGTAGTATGTTTCCAGTCTTTCTTGATTGTTAAAAATATCCAATGCATCGCAAAAATTGGTCTAATGGGACTACTCGGGCTGCATGCCTCTTACAGGAGATAACATATTGCTGTTTCACTATTAATACAAACACGACAGGTGATATATTGTTGGTATTATTAGTCCGCATTATTATTATTTGTTATTACTACCAGTAACACTTGAGCGGATTGGGACTACCAATCGGCGTGGTCACAAATGGCGGTTACAGTGAGTTTAAAGTAATAATATTCAGATTGTTTCTCCGCATAAAAACGTTTAGTTATGCCAGTATTGCTCGTAGCAATGAAAAGGAATGGGTGGTGGGGACAAGTGATTATATTCCTTTAAATTAAATATTAAAGTTTCTAGGTACAGTGAAAACGTATTTAGGATAAATGTTGCAAGTACAGTGTAAACAAATTTGAGCTTTTCACATTTTAACTGTTGTTAACAGAACCAATCATGTCATACGTCTTATCCCCAAGGTGACTGCGTTCTAATTTTGATCAGAAATCACACAGAAGATTTGGAAACTTTGCTTACTTAATATGCACCGACATATTCACAAATCTAATCATGTCTGCGCATTATCCAAATGTACCAAAGTTGATCAAATCCGCTCAAAGGAGTTTGCGATTCCGCTTACACTAACAGACGCAAAATTCTCACATGTATGACAGATAAGAAAGGCACGTAAATGCATACTTCCCTCATTAATTTGTAAAGTAAAAATATATTGTTATAATCTGAATGAAATAATGATGTTTGAAGCTGGAGTAAACGTACTCACCCTATTGTCAGCATTAACCAAGTGTGTCCTGTGTTACGCAGTGAACTGAGCTGATGGAATGTTTTAACAACATCATCTATTGGCGGCGCTTGTCCCAGTGACTTTATTGTTAAATCGTCCGTGGTTGGAATAAAGCGTATACATTTTGAAGGGATTGTGTAATGTACTCGTTTCTAGACACCACCAATCAATTCCATCTAATGTGTATATTTCTCATTATATTTGCAGCAAGCATACTACAAACCATTACTAGTATAAAAATGAGTATTATTGTCATTATTATTAGGTTTTCCAAATTCATTTGTATGTTGTCATCTTTTTTTATTACATATTATTAAGTTCACATCACACTTTTTTGTACATATTACTATTGTTTTTTCAATCGATTTTGAAACGTCTTGTTTTTTCCCCAAAATTGGGGATAGTGCTTGGTAGCAATTTGTTCTTGTGTCTGAATCGGTGTTACTTAAAAGGTATGGGCGCTATTTAGAATTTGATTGTTAATTTGAAAGATCGTAAACTATCAACTCAATCGGCACCCAAATTTCAAATACTTTCTTCTGCATAACATTTGCAAACAAGTTCATGTATATATATATAAACCACGCTTGATTATCCATCGATGGGAAGCTAAACATAATGGCTTAAGGAATGTCATTGATAAAACGTCAGGTTTCTAGCAACACCCTTAGAATGGAGATATGAAATTTATGGAAATACAAGTAATCCTATAGGCGATGAAAACAAAAACGTTTTGTCCCGTGAAATTATGGGACTTCTTTTGAAAAAGTCACACCATTTGCTTAACGGGCCAATGCCCTGCGTATTTGTTGTTTAAATGTATTGGAATTATATTTCATTTCGTATGACATCATGCCCTAGTAAGCATGGTCAAAAATGATTTAAAAAGTTGGCCAAAGTTGCCCATATTCACAGCTTCTTGGATAATGTATTCATACTTGGAGATTGCATTGCATTTGTTGTTAGCTAGTGTGATTGAGTATTCAAAACAATATCTTTCAACAACGTGTTGGTTGCAAGCTGATGATAGCTTACAAAACGCTAAGCGCCCTCAATCGACATGGCATTCAAGTAGCCTGGCTCTGCCACTATTCATACGAAAGTTCATTCAAAATTTAGAATTAAGATAATCCAAAACAATTCATAAATAATGAAGACGCTGTAGGAAACTAATTACAAATGTGCAGTAAGTTGAACAAAATTGTTGGTGTTGCCATGGCCACCATACGTGCTTGGACACTTTTATAAAAGATTTGTAAGTTGACATATGATAACTTCCCCGAACGGTAACAACGTCTATTTTAATCATTTCGTGACGTCCGAGATTTGAATTACTCATGTCTGTCTAATCATTGCAACTTTTGGGCGAGGGATCGAAATGCCGTGACTGGTGTGCATATTTCCAATATCGGGTTATCGTTAAATGTCGTTCACAATAAACTTAGTGGTGGTATGTATGATAATACATTACTATGCCTTGTAGCTTGATGGTACGTCGGTTCACTTCAAGGCGTCACGTGTATTCACATCTATCTAAATACTTAAGTACACTTAATATAAGTTTACATTTGATATCAAATATCTGAATACACAAGTATTTAGAAAAGTTTAAGCTGGGATACGCGTATTGTAAGTAAACTTGTATGTTGAGTACATTGTCGGCTTGGGGGCGCTGGTGCTCGAAGTAGCTTTTCTTTGGTGACTGTTTGCAATTGTTATTCCCAGAGGATATTGTTTTCTCGTAACCAAATATAGTTATATCCAGACAGGGTTGCAGCATACGCTGTCGGAAAAGTTTTCTCACAATAAGAAACATATTTCATCAAATCGAATTTAAAAAGCAGCAGCGGAAATGAATGCGTGTACACGGGCGTAAAGTGACGGTCATGAGTAGCGGTTCATTAATCATCTGCTCCAATGGTAAGAGCCTTCCAACCTCTCCCCTAATTCTCTTACATTTATAAATGATATCTCAGTCAATTTGAAATGGCAAAACAAAACTGTCTGCTGTTGACCGTGATTGTCACTTGTATTCTGTTATCACGAATGATGAGCACTTTGGTATATGGCGTAGTCATCTTTGAGAAATGGTGTAAAGATTGGTTATTGAATTTAAATATTTGCAAATGTAGATTGACCAGTAGACAGGTAATATTTTCATCACGACATAGCATTGCAATCATCAAACTGTAAAATATATTTAGGCGTAGAGTTGAATTGTGGCATGGAGTAAAACGATCTTTGTAATAAGCTAGCAACTGAATGTAACAAATTGCTTGGTATTATACGTCATATATGAAACATGCCTAGCCAAATACTATCAGAAAAGTGAATAACAGTTTAATTCGTTTAAACTGGATTTTGTCAGTACAATATGGATCCCTATAGAATAGGCAACATTACGAAACTTGTAAACGTACGAGCTGCTTGGCTAATCACAAAGCAATGGAAGTTATCTTGAAGTAACTTGACTAATCATGTATGAAGATTTTAGATCCTCAAATATATATGATAATAGTAGAACTAGCCACTCATTCAAACTTGGGTTGTAACGATGTAAACAGATAGCTTCTACAAATAGAACAGCATGAGAAATTACCTCTCATAATATAGTAATTGCAGCAAATGCTAATTATAAATTTACACTTCATATAACATATCGCATATGTATGTCGTCATAAATATTGACTAGTACAATATTGCCAGTGTGCCACTTTGTATAATCTGTTGAGAAACTGCACAATTTGTGATAATCCCTAACAGAATCCCTAAACTTTAGTGAATGATATACCTAAATAAGCTTCTACAAATAGAACAAGTTCCCATTATTACACTAAACTTGTTATAAATCAATACAACACTACAAAGAAATCTACATTGATATTGTTGTTTATTGGTGCTGATACTAAACATCCGGCGATTACATATATTATTATTTTTTTATTATTTTCCATAACAAACCCACATTAAACTCACCAGCACTAAATTTCTATTGTGCGAAACAGTAGATTCAACTTGTACTTTGTCATACACTAATTGTGTACATGGTCGTCACTTTAAGTAGATACCCGGTTACATTCCTAGTGGACTTTTGAAGTATACGTTACTCGAGATCATTGAATTTTGGAACATTTTTAGAATACACTACTTCACAGCACACTATGTCACTATGTAAATTATATACAATTACGATTTATATCACACAAAAGTAAATAATAACGACCGAATGTAGTTAAAAATATTTGACCAATGGTTATCACGAATCTTTTACTGGCACGTAGCTGTAGCAATACCACATACACGTGGGAGTGCCAAACAGGACGCATTGAGAATATTTACTATATATTGTAAATAAACGACCGCCACCAGATAGGCTGTGCGTAGTGTCAGCGTAGACAAACTTTAAAATAGATACAAGTTGTTGAACAAATAAACAACATCCCTAAGTAACACAAAATTGAATTGATAAAATATGAAAGACACTGTCAAATAAAATGAACCATGCACAATTTAAGAAGAATATTGCTGTTTAATGTCACAGGTTATGAAGCGGTACGGTGTATGTGCAGTGAATACAACTGAATTAAACTACCCCATATTGTATGCTGCGATAACAAGATATATAGTGTTGTATATGTATGATTATAAGTTAATCTACATCCAAAAAATCTTATTTATTCTTTTCTAGACGTGACTACTCATGTTAGGAGGGTGATTGTATTATCACATGTATATATTGGAATTCAGTGGACAATCGCTATCGTGGGTTGATAAATCACCAAATCACTGTTGAAACATTCAGGTGCAGTCAACGGGGCTGTTCGTGAAAAAATGTGTTCGCAGGGGATTTTTAGCGGGCAGGCAAAATAAAACATCTTCAGTGGGAGGGAATTAAAAATAGGGTTTCTCAGAGGGGAATTCCAGTAGGAGAAGATTTTTATTCAGAGGGCAGGCAAGTTTCATTTTTAGATTGAGCGGGTAAGAGCAAAATGACTGATTATACATTGTATTTTTCAGAAGTGCAAAATTTGAACTTGGGTACAACTCTCTTAATAAAGAGTGTTGTCGGTGAAATGGGTCATGGGGAACAAAAACTGAGTGGGAAAAGGGCAGTGGGAGAAAAACCGATTGGAGAGAAGGCAGCGGGGAACAAAAACTGAGTGGGGAGAGGGCAGTGGGAGCAAAACCGAGTGGGGAGAGGGCAGTGGGAGCAAAACCGAGTGGGGAGAGGGCAGTGGGAGCAAAAAACAGTGGGAGGGCAATTTAATTTGATTGAGAGGGAGGGGAGTTGCGAACAGCTTGACCTCTCCCCTCCAAATTAATTAAGCCTTAATAATGTTCATAAATTAAGTTACTGTTGATCAAACATAAAAACCAAACATTTTTGAAAATTTACTCGTTGACTGCACTTGAACATTAATGGTGATCGAAAAATAACTGTATCTAACTATAAGCTATGCATTGCCTTGGTCACTGACCGACGCCATTTTGTATTGCGTCAATACGGCCAAACTATTTTCATTGTAAAAGTGTTATCACTTGAATGCGTTTCAAAACAATTCCTTGTTATGAGCATAACGAAAACGCCATTTTGAAGAATTTACTAAATATTAAATTATTAAATCAGAATGGTATAACACCCAAAACTCAAAAATTACAAGTCGGATACTTTACAGAATATACCTGTCCCAAAAATGAGTCTAACCTTAAATAAGACATTCAGTGAATAAACCATTGGATAATAAATATTGGATAAACGTTTCACTTGTTTTACTATGTAATTGAAATAGTATTGAAGGTATTGAATAATTAAGAATTTTCCAACACAAATAACTAATTGTATTTTTAAATAGAAATGTACAAGCCACAAAAAAAATAATGCTTGACAATTAGGAACTCTGGAGGAGGAATGCCAAAATGAAATAACTGGCAGGGATCACTGTGCAAGGGGTTGCTATCATATAATACATTGATACGACACTGACTCTACACACTACTTTCATATACTCAATGAGCCAATTATGAATTTTGTTATCATAGTTTTAACAAGATAATGCGATATGCACCAGTCGAGGAGATTTGATACAATATCAAACTATTTCGGCGAAGAACCTCTCTATCTAGTTATCTTATATGTTATATGTAGGTATTGTGTCACGCCTCGTACACGCTTGGTATCACCCGTCAAAGAGGTATTGTTCACCCAAACTTTACAGATATGAATTGCATGTACCAAATCGGTTCAGACAAGAGCAACACACGCAGTTTATTATAGGGGGCGCTATGCCAAGTGTGATTTCTAAAGTTATTTTACAAACATTCATTTCAAATACTAGTAAATTTATATCACTTCTTGTAAAGTTATCTATTTGTCAATATAAACATTTTCGAGAGCAAACGTGTATTTAGCATGTCATTCAAAAGATTCCAAAGTTCAATGACCTCATGTAACATATATTTTGTACATGCGGTGACGCAGATTGTTTCCGCCGGCTCTGGGTAACTTAATTAAATTATGGTGTCGTTCGTTTATTGTACGTTCGTATTTATTGCTAAGTTTTAAAATGGACTGATATGTATAATGAAATATCGAATTAGGACATGCTTCGAGGACGCTGATTAACCAGCAATGAGTAAGCATCAATTACAAATTGACAATGCGTCCACGTATTCGTTCATGCACAGGGAATCTGTGTCAACACTGTCACTGGTCCATGTTATTGTAACACCCTGTCAACAACTTTGAGTCCCATCTCCCGTTTCCGCATACACATGTATTAGCAGCCTCGGTTGCTTAGCTGGCGCATGCGCAAACGTACTTTTGGAGGTGCACGCCGGAGTTCAGCGCCAGTACACCTTATGGGAATACTGATGAAGGCACAATAGTTGACCTGTAACGAGGGCAGATTATTTGTTTTTACACACGGTAATTAGTTAAACTCGTAAACTCAATGGGGAAACGTATGATAGTCAGTACGTGTAATGTAATATACCTGCGGGGTTTTCCATTGGTATAATATAGGATGTCAGTGTAATCATGATAAATCAGTGATAGTAACGTGGTATATCGATATCAATTGTAAACAGGAGAAAGGTGCAGCTATCTTGTCGAGAAAGAAATGTTCGGATGCTGGACTCGAGTCATAAATGAAATGAATGCAGGACGTTGTCGGTGACGCATATTTATGTGCTGTTGTTACCGATTTCTTTATGCGTTACAGACAGATCTAGGAATGAGGACACGATTTCGGCACGTTTCGAGTGGGTCCCAAGTGGGTCCTGAACAACGTGAACGTTACCATGAACTGCCATAGGTGGCGCATGCGTCCAACGTTCGAGTACGGTAAATAATGATTCGTATCTACTGTCCGGCAAAACGCTTTCCGAATATATGTTTATTGTTATTGTCACGGCGGGGTTATTACGAGTCATACACAGCGGAATGACGTGGACGGGGCATATCACATTAAACACTAATTACCATAGTATCTATAGCATATATATTACCCGAATATGTTTCGTTAATTCACGGCAACTCTAAGTGACGTCATTGTACCATATAATGTATAAATATTCACATATCAAACATGTCAAGAATGCTCAAATGATACCGATATCTATTGTTTAGTTTTTTATACGACGGGACCACTGTGGCGGGTCGACGCCGGCGCTGACCGTTGACATTGCACTTATATCGTAGGGGTGAACGACGTATGTTGGGGACGTCGAAACATTTATGATACAAATAAGAACTATACAAATAACACATTCATGTAACATTGGCAATAGTAAAATATTAGTGATGAATAAAATTAAATCAAATTCTTTTTGTGAACAAATAATATGTTTTCACCTAACCACAGTCCATTAACACCGGTGTTGAGGGACTGTGACCTAACCGCACTGAAAGAATAGTATGCTCCATCCAATGGCATTGTGGGAAAACTCGATAATCCGTAAGTTGTGCGCACGCATTGATCTGGTCCGCTGCTCTTTTTAAAAATATTTTGGAATTTTCTCAACTAAAGCTGATTGCTGACGATGAATCGACTTCCACTACATGGTATACTCACTACGTGTATAGCAATCCTTTGTTGTTCATTGTTATCTTTCGGGTGTAAGTGCGGGCCCGGTGAATTCTGTGATGGTACACATGGCGCATGTCAGCAATGCCTACTCTGTTTTGAT